CGGCCAGCCCGGCCTGGTGGGGGTGGGGTCCTTGGGTAGTCCCTCGGAGCGCACCCCGGGGAGGAGCTCGAGCCCTGCCCGTAAGGACAGCCGCAACACCCCCTCCGCCCGCCCCCCCACCTCGTCCTGCACTGCCCGCCCTCACCTCGCGCGAGGCGCCGCTGGGACCTGTCCCATGGCCACCGCCAGCGCCACCGGTACCGCCGCCTCCCCCGGCTCCGACTGGCAAACTCTGGCGGCTAGCTGAGGACCAGCCCCGGCTCCGCGGCTTCCCGGGCTCCGCCCCCCGGCCCCCGGCCCCTTTAAGAATCCAGCGCGGAGGCGGGCCCCAGGCAAGACCTGCAGCCCGGGAGGTAGGGTGCGGCGGGCTCCCGCGCGCCCAGTCCCGGGTTTCGGCTTCTGGGGCTCCCAGACCCTCCTCCAGGAAGCGTAGCCGCCTAGCTGGGGCTTTGAGGCCCCCCTCGACGAGGCTTCCAGCAGCAGTCACAGCTGTGAGCGCCCCTCAGCCCGAGGTTCCCCCCTGCAGTCTGTGGCCGGTGGTACCGTCCTACCCGCTGCGCGGCGTCGCCAGCCCCTTAAAGGAGCAGGCACAGGCACAGCGGGATGGAGAGGGGATGAAAGAGGTCGCTCTGCCCTCCCCGGGCCTTAAGTTGGTGCTGCGGGACCCCCGGACTGCGGGTACCCGCAGGTCCGGCTCTGTACTTCAGAGGGTAGCTCCCAGCCCTGGGCCCTTTGTGTGGCCCTCGGGATCCCGACCAGAGCCTGCTCTCGGCCCCCAGACCCAGTGAAGGCCCGCCCCCTCCGGACCAGGACCCCTCCCCTAGCCTGGTCCGGAGGGACGCCCAGCCCTCGGCCAGGCTGGGGGAAGGGACCCAAACTTCCCCGGGCGTCCCGGTCCGGGTGGGCAGCCAGTGCTTGTCTGAGGATCGCTACGGGGATGGGTAGAACTGGGAGCGGCGAGGCCCAACGGGACACCCCGCTGTGTCCTACCTGGGTTCCCGCTCCCTCCTGCCAGTCTCTAGCGGGGACCCTCCAAGGCCATCCTTGCAGGATTTCGGGGAAAGACCATGGAGGGGCTCCTGGGGTGTCCGGATCCTGGGCCCACTAACCCCGCAAGCCTCCCGATGAGCAGCAGCAGACAGGGCTGGGCTGGGGCGAGTCCTGTGTGAGCCCCTCTTTCTAGATCCGCTCTCCCTTATGAAGCGCAGCTCTTCGAGGATGGGGAGGAGAGTAAGGGGGCGCTGCTCAGGGCACATCTACGGGTGTGTGGACCGCCCGTCTGTTCTGCGCCGGGCTCACCTGCGTGGGAGCCTGTCGGCCCCGTAGGTCGGCAGCCGCCCTCCTTCCTCGAAGACGAGCCTCTCGGGCAGGGCCACTTGAATCAGCTGCTGCCCTAGGGGCTGTCCGCAGGCTGAGGGCTTGCTAGATAAACCTCATCCTCCTCCCACCGGTTACCGCCTCCCACCCCAGCCCTTTCTCCTCACTTCCTGCTGCCCCTCGGAGAGGAAAGGGCCAGGAACAGGCGCAGGGGAGGGAACGCCTAGACCCTGTTTCCCTCTGGCACATGGGGTTGGCTGGCTGCCCTCCTCACCATCCCCTGACCGGGCACTGGCTCCACCAACTGCGCCAGGTGACAGGAAAGCTGAGGGCCCGGGCTCAGAGGCTGGCTCTCCCACACACACTTGGCACACCTCTCCTTCCAGTGGTCTGGGCCCCTGCTCAAATGTGAGTGGAGGGGACCTGGTGAAGTGCTACTTTTGGGAAACAGACTCCTTGGGGCTTGTCAGTTGCTGGTCCATACAGTGCTGCTGCCAGAGTACCGGAACCACCCCCTCAGAGGGGGTCTGGGGGAAGGAAGCCCAGGCCACCTAATGTCCCTTGGAGTTGATCAGCAGTTTGAAACCACCAGTCGCTTCTCAGGAAAAACTCTCTCAAAGTCTCGGAGACCCACAAGGGCAGTCAGTCCTAGGCGGTCCTATAGGGTATCAGAGGCCTGTACAAGTGTCTCAGTGTGCCAGGATAGGGGCTGGAGAGTTCTGCTGGGGGCGGGGGACCTTTCTTGAAATCTTATTCCCAGAGCGGAAAGCTCCTTACACAGGGGAAAGGGGAGTCCACAATACCCCAGGTCCCAGGGTGGGGGGGCTGAAGCAGGGTCTAAGCAGACCCCAGGGACACAACCCCCTCACCACAACCCCCATCCCCCACCTCCTACAGGCCCAGGGTTTCTCCTAAGGGGCTATATGAAACGAGGATGAGGGAGCAGGATCCGGCAACTAGCTTGGTACATCTCTGGCCCTGGGAGGTGGAGTGGAAGCCTTGGAAGCTCCACGGTGGGGGCCCTGAGGGAAATGGCAAGACAGGCCAGACTGTCCCTGGGCAGGGACATTTCCTCAGGCGGCCAGCAGGAAGGAAGTGAGCACAGCCCTCGGGAGGGAGTGGGGAAGCAGGACTCTGACCCATATTGTTTTGCAGCCTCAGGGTCAGCTGGGAGTTCCCCATGCTGGGAAGATGGCAGTGAGTGAGAGATGGGGTGCCTCCTGGGAGTCCCATGGCCACAAGACAGCCTGTTGGGGGGAGAGCATGGAGGAC